CACTAATGTTTTAAATTAATATTGATTTTTAATTGAAGTTGAACAATTAATGACTGATTGTTTGCCTTGGCTTCGATTCATTATCCATACAATCGAATCTAAACAATTTTTTATGGGGAACTTCATGATATAGGGTGTAAGTTAATTTGGAAGTAATTGGGTGGAAAAGTGAGTTAAAGATTAAAAAGAAATTATTTGATAAAAATAAAATATTTGAAATTGTTAAAAATACGAAATAAAATTTAATGATTAGAATTAATGTAAAGTAAATGAATATAAATAATTTTAGTTAGAAATATATAAGTGGATTAAAAGTCAATTTTGTTAAGAAAATGTATTAATATGAAATTTTATTATTTATTTGTATTGCTGAGATTGAAAAGAACAAAGCGGAATGAGATGAATGGAATTTTTCTCAAAAATATATAATTGTTTAATCGTAGTTCCGACGAAAAAAATCATCCACTGAAGAAAAATAAAAAATATTTTTCTTCACTAATGGAGACAAGTTCAAATCCATTTTCTAAAGTATGCAATGTGATATATATCATGTATTTATAGGACTAACCTATATCATCAGTGCGTAAATTGGAGGTAGTTAAAATTATCATTAATACCCGGCTTCATTGAATTTAGGCGATGGTCGCATGTTGTTCAGTTCTAACTATCAAATATATCAGAAATGCTATGGAGCCAATGGTTGGTTCCTTTATGGAGCCAACCACCAATGTTATAGTGCCACGTAGGTCATGTGAAAAATAATTAATTTCACATGGCCTACGTGGCACTATAACATTGTGGTTGGCTCCTTTATTGGCTCCATAGCATTTCTCTCAAATATATTGCGTCATTGAATTATAAGTTATAACTCTATAAGTGATGGTTGTACATTATTGAGTTTTTTTTTGGTACAAAGAGAGGAGGCTTGAGTTTTGATGAGTGTACATTCAAAATTGCAAATTCATTTTAATTTGACATTTTGTCTCATCTCCATATGGCTANTTTTTTTTTTTTTTTTTTTCAAATTCTATATATATTTTCTTAAAATAATATCAAATATTTTGGAGTTTCAACTCATGAATTACATACTAAAATAAGATTTTTGTTCATCCTGTTATTGAGCACCACGACACAATTGTTTACAATGATTATTAATGAAGTTCTCAAAAACAAGAGCTTAATGCAAGATACTAACATAATCTCATTATGTGAGAATATGTTGGTTTTGGAATTGAACTCATGCCCATCAGCCCATGAGAAGTGAAAAACAATTAATTTTAGGGTAAGGCTACAATCCCGTTACGGAACCATTCCGTTGGGATTTGTAACCGTTAGATCAATTATCATTGACGGTTACTTGATGATCTAATGGTTACAATCCCAACGGAATGGTTCCGTAACGGGATTGTAGCATTTTCCTTAATTTTAATGTCAGATCATAAATGTTAAAGTAATTCTAAAGGTATATGATTTTTATTTGGAATTTTTATGTTTTCTCATGTAATATTTATTGTGTTGTCTCTTGCATTTTCTAAACTTACCGTGTTTGTATTCCAAATTGTACCAACTATTGCTAAGGATTTAATAACTAACCCCAAATTAATCAATAACAAAATACATTAACGGTTACATATGTTATTTCGTTATACTATTTAAATAAAAATGTATATTTATATCGATCATACTTTTTTTGTTTATATTATTATCTAAATTATAACATTTTGTAATAAAAATACACGTGTATAAAAATAGTATATCAACTTAAGCTGACCTAAAACAAAAATAATATATACAAATTTATATAAATATAAATTTGCACATAGATATACATTTGTTATTTAATAAATATCACGCTTATGTTTCCACGAAAATATAAAGCATATTACTTTTATAAAGTTCATAAGTTATACGAAACATATGAACGAGTGTGAATTATATCACCTTTCCTTTTCCGGCCGTCTAAAAACGAAACGTCAAACCCCATAAACAACCGAGACAAAGGGATAACAGTTAATAAAGAAGATTCTAGAGATGAACCTCGTAAATATCTGGCCTCGAAAACCTAATCTCAGCCGTTGATCTTAATCTCAGCCATCCTTATCGTGGACCCCATTCTTTTCCAATAAAGTTCTAACATTTAAATAACAATTGATACAACAATTATTAAAATATTCCCAAAAAAGTATATATATTTAGTAAGTAAGTCGTGCAAACTGCTTCTGGAGGCTTCTTGAGAGAGGAGGCATTTATCTCCTCTCCAACTAAAAAAACCTCAGGTTTCCAGATGTAACAATCTTTCAGTTTAATCTTTTCTTTTCCTTTATATTAAAATATGCATTTTCGTGTGTTGTTATATTGTTTTTGAAACGAACTGCGGTATAGAACTTGAAAAATCATCGCAGTTATAATCTGTCGACAATTTGGTTATTTGTTTTTGGGATTTTGTTTTTTGGGGGCTAAATTGAACTTTAAGTTGAGGTAATGGCAGCCGAGGAAGATAAAAGCGAAGATTTTTACGCCATTATGGGGTTGAAGAAAGATTGCACGACGGTAGAGCTGAGGAACGCGTACAAGAAGCTAGCAATGGTTAGAATTTTTGTCAACACACAGACTTTATGTTTGTGTTTTATTTTTTTTTATTATTATTTTTTTTTTGGATGGATTGACTACGTACTATGGGAATGTTATGGAATTATTTTGTTCAAAAGATTGATTTTTTAAC